CGCCCCCAAGCCACTGGGCCTGCTTGGGCGGCCACCCCAGCTCTCCCCAAGACCTTGGTCAGTGAGCGGCAGAGGGAGGGGCCTTCTCACGACCCTCCGCGTGTGCGGCGCCATCAGTCTCCCCGCAAGTCCAGACGCGGAGTCTCAACCCACAATCACACACCCCAGCCCACAGACGCATCCTGGAAGCCTGTCAAGGGTCAGCCCATCTTATGGAAACTGAGGCACAGAGAGGCATTAGGGGACCAAGCTATGTAAGTAGACCACAGCAGCCAGGTCCCAAGACCGTGGCCTGGGCACTGTGGCAGGTGACAGGTCTGGGTCCTTGGATATGGGGCCAGTACCTGCCAGGGTGGGGAGACGGGACACCGGCGATGACCGTCTGTGAGATTCTGCTGGTGACACAGGAATGCCACGGCCCCTCGCCTGCATCTGACAGCACCGGGTTCCTCTCCGGAGTCCGCAGTCACTGTGCGTCCTCAGGCCCTCTGTCCTGTCCCCGCAGACACTGGACACAGGCAGCCCCTCGGCTCTGCCAGCCCCAGAGGACAAGGACAGCAGCTGTGGCCACTCCTCCCTGCAGCACCATGGCGCCCACTGGGTCCGGCTGCTCAGGAGGTGAAGGTGCTCCCCGCACATGCAGTGACGTGCCCAGGATGTGACCCCGGGCGGCAGGCACAGCGCAGCCATTGGTGGGGTGCCTGCCGCAGGAGCTGACCACAAATCTCAGCTGGGTGGGTGGAGGGCAGGCAGCGGGGAGACCCTGGGGTCAGGAGGGGCCACGGCGTCAGCCCCGCTGTCCGGAGTAAGTGAGGGAGAGAGGCAGCGAGCCTGGCCCCAGCGACCTGTGCGGGCTGCACCTAACAGGACAAACGGGCAGGCTGGGAGCAGCGGCTTCCTCTGTCACCCGTTGTCTGTGGAACCAGGTGGACCCAAGCGCGGGTTCTGCTGACTAGAAGGACGCGACTCTTTGCTCTTGTGGAGACATCTGGGGTACAGTGGACACGCTCTCCGTTTTCTTCCGCTCCCCTGTTGCTGCCTGTCTCGACAAGGTCGGGCACTTTTCCTGCTTCTGGACAGAGGGCCAGAGAACTGCATCGGGGGAGGGTGGGGTGGGGAGCAGGTGGCTGGACTGGGGCTGCGGAGGTGCACCTGGGGGTTGGCGGGACAGCAGCAGTGCAGTTGGCAGTCCCCAAGTGTGGGGACGGGAGACTGAGGTGCGGGGTGGGTAGGACAGGTCCCTTTTGCCCTTTCCTGGTGGATGGAGCGGTGGGACCGCCTGGCAGGGGCCTCGGTCAGTTGCTTCAAAGTGCTGCGTCACAAGCAGCCCAAACTCACGATTTGCAAACCAGCCTGTGTGCGGGCCAGCGGCGTCCCTACGGGGTTCCCGGACGCAGCTCAGGGTGGCTGGGAACCGGCACATCCTACCTCTGCCACATCTACTGGCAAGGCAAGTCCTGCAGTCACATCGAGCACTGGCGCCTGCTCCGTCCACAGGAGAGGGTGCCTGTTCCACGGCAGGGCAGGGGGGAAGGCCTGGGAACAGCAGCCCACCCCTCACCCTGGCCCTGGACACAGCCTGCCCCGGGGGGCTCAGCATGCCTCAGCCAGGGGTGCCTGGTGCTCTCAGCACAGTCAGGCCGGGGCAGCAGCGTGGGGAAGGAATCCGTCCGCCTGCTCGGGCTGCAGTCACAAAGGACCACAGGGGGGTGGCTCCCACAGCTGAGGCTTATTTCTCACGGTGCTGGAAGCTGGAGATCCAGGTGCCACAGGACTGGTTCCTGCCGCAGCCTCTCTCCTTGGCTTGCAGACAGTGTCTTTTCCCTGTGTCCTCTCGTGCTCGTCCCTCTGTGTGGGCACCCTGATGTCTCCTCGTGTGGCCTAATCTCCTCTTCTTACAAGGACACAGCCACACTGGACTAGAGCCCACTCTGATGGTCTCCCTTTAACTTAACTACCTCTTTAAAGACCTGTCTCCAAATGCAGCCACGTGCTGAGGTGCTGGGCTTAGGGCTTCAGCATGTGAATTTGGAGGACACAGGTCAGCCCATTGCAGAAGGTGACACACCGTGCCCCCTTCCAGGTCCACATGCCTGATCGTCTCACCACAGGGGTTGCACCTGTACCAGACAGTCCCCTGCCACACCCCAGGCCAGCCCCAAGGCCACCTGCTCACCTGCACATGTGAACATTTGCCCTCCTAGCCCCTGGAACCCTGGCCATGGGCCCATTTACAGAGGGCTGAGCCATTGCCAGTGAAGACCAGAGCTGGCACCGAGCAGCACGGGTGAGAGATCCGTTCAGCAGGGGCTGGGCTCGTCAGGAGGAACCAGGCGGGCTGGGATCTTCACAGAGGGGCATGTGGACCAGGGACCTATGCAGGAGAAGTGAGGAGACCCTGGGACCAGAGACCCCAGAACCCACATGAGTGGGGCAGGGGGTGGAAGGGGAGCCATGCAGGGGCTGAGAAGGCTCAGAGCGGGAGCCACGGGAGCCACAGAGCCTGGAGCAGGAACATGGGACCAGGGAGATCCGAGCCCGGGGTGGTGGCCCAGGATGCCGGAGGGGCAGCAGGTGCAGGACAGGTGCAGGAGGGACGATGCCCCCGGCAATGGGCAGCTCCCTGGGTTCTGCCCTCCAGGTCCGGCTGGCGGGGCCGAAATCTCGGTGAGTGTCAGTGATCTCCAGCTGCCCTGCCAGGGCCACCCCACCTGAACGAGGTGCCAAGAGGAGCAGGAACAGCAGATACCCGGGGAGGGGGAGGACGGGAGGGGTGGAAGACGCAAGCCGGGCGCTGGGAGACCCTCCTCCCCCCGCTTTGGGAAGGGTGGCCCTGCGGATGGGCACCCGCACAGCCCCCTGCCGCCTCGGCCAGCTCCTGTCCCGGCCACCACGCTGTTGACGGCAGCCTCTCTGCACAAAGGTGCTTTCCAAGAAAGAGGCCGGCGGGTTCACAACAGCCGCACCCCACCCACCCCACCGCGAAAGGCCTCGGCCTTGGTGACCAGGAAAGAAGCACTAACCCTGGTGCACGGCTCTGACACTACCCCGCAGGGTCTCACCACAGTGGGTCGCTTTCTGAAAGCGCCTGGGCGCAGGGCTGCTGCGCCGCCCGGGTTCCCCTCCCGGACCTTGGGCAGGGGGCAGGAGGAAGGGGCTGCAGACCCAAGGACCGTGACTCCAGGGAGCGCGTGTGAGCGTGCGATGGGGCCAGCAGTGCACGTCCCGTGACCTCACACCCTCAGTGTCACTGGGAAATGAGTGTGCTCCAGACCAGCGGCCGACCAAAGGGGTCCTGAGAAAACCAAGGGGAAAAAAATCCCTCATTAAATGCCAATTTCAGGGGCAACAGTAACTTTGCCAAAATGGAAACCTTCCAGCTCCGCAGGCGTGGGGGCGCGAGGCTCCGCTGCCTCGTGATGGGCGAACTTCAGGAAGTACAGACTCGATCTGTGGGGCCGTATTCACTTTAATTACTAACATTCAACATGATTATTAGACATTTTTCTTCCCTCGCATCTGAGGAAAGCTCTGCTCCTGCGCTTTGGGGACATATGACCCTAATTCTGAAAAACAAGTCATCACCATAATAAAAGCCAAATTGAAACCATAAATAAACGGTCTCATTACAGGCGAGGGGCAGACGGGACGGGAAGGCCGGGACGAGCACCTCTGCTGCCAGCAGCAGCTCCGAGGCGGGGACCTCTCGGCGGTCTCAAGAGCCATCTTTCATTAAAGAAGTAAATACAAAGACAGTCATGCTAAAAATCCACGGGCTATTAAGCCACACTTCACGGGAGTATAAGCATCGTTACATCCTGATAGAGCCGCCATCCGTCAGGGGAGGCCGCACGTGGCGTGCGCTCTGCGCCCTCGCGGGGACACGGGCTGTTTGTCCATGGCTCTGTGTGGCTGCTGGAGGAGGAACGGGAGGGAGGAAAGAGGTGGCCCTGGCAGTGGTGGCACCTGCACTCACTGCATTTGCTTGATAAGTGTGACTTCAAGCGTGGCCTCCTTCCTCGGTCCTCCTTGGCGGGGGTGGGCACGCTGTCCCCGGCGCTGGCTCTGGTTAATCTCCGTGTGCGACGTGACGCAGGAGGCGAGGTCCGGGGAGGAGTGGTGGCGGGCTGTCTCTAGAGGAGCAGGATTAATGCTCCAAAAATATCTGCCAGCACCTGGGAGCCCGCTGGAAACGATGCCCACCGTCCTGCTCCTCCTGCCCCTGCACCCTGTGCCAGTCTGGGGCGCCTGGCTGTTGGGGCCCCCTCCCTGCACTGTCCTGCCCCACGTCCCAGGGAGCCTGGCGCAGCCCCCAGGAAGTCCATGGAGGGAAAAGAGAACCTAAGCTCCTCTTTTAAGAATGGGACCCCCATCCTTCTTCCAACCTGTTTATTAAAATTTTAATTGCGGTACAGCATACAGAGCATCCCCATCTTCAGCATTTTTGAGTGCACCGCTCGGTGGCGTGAAGCACATTTACACTGCCGTGCACCCCTCCCCGTGCCTCTCTTGTTCAAACACAAGTGGAAATACACACTGGGTGTCCCGGGACACGCGCGGACACGCAGCTCACTGGCCGAGGTCCACAGCGGGCAGGGCGCGAGGCCGTGGGCCTCCACCCCGAGCCTGCGGCGTGAAAGGCCCTACGGCTCTCGGCCATCGCCGCCCCTCCACGCCCTCCCACCACGTGCGGACCCCGCCCAAACTGGCCGAGCCTCGTGGGGCCGCCAGGGAGGTGCCCCCAGCTCTGAATTACTGGAAAGTCTTTCTGTGTCCTGAGGCCAGATCCTCCCCACCGGAATGTGTACCCCTTGGTCTCGGGGTCACCCAGGAACAAGGCCCCCCCTCTCTCTCCAGGGCGTCCCCACTAACCAGAAGCAGATGCGCTCACACGGACTCCAGCCCTCCCTGCCTCCCACTCCCTCCTCAGCTCTTCTCCACCGGCAGGCCAGGGAGAGCAGCTGGGACCTGCTCCAAGCCACATCCTGGTCACCTCTCTTCCTCCCACCCGGAGCTCAGGGGGTGGGGTGGGGCTGCTGACCCCCAGGGAGGTGGCAACTGGACAGCCAGCCCGGCAGGGAGGAAAGTGGAGCGTGCTCTCTCTGTCTCTCTCTCTCTGTCTCTCTGTCTCTCTCTCTCTCTCTCTGTCTCTCTCTCTTTGTCTCTCTGTCTCTCTCTCTCTCTGTCTCTCTCTGTCTCTGTCTCTCTCTCTGTCTCTCTCTGTCTCTCCCTCTGTCTCTCTCTGTCTCTCTCTGTCTCTCCCTCTGTCTCTCTCTGTCTCTCTCTCTCTCTGACTATCTCTTTCTGTCGCCCCAGAGCAAGCTGATGCGGTGGGGGGGTGACACGGGTGGGCAGGGCCTGGACGCTCACAAAGGTTTTTATTTCCAGAAAACGGCAGATGGTGAGGCCGCCAGACACAGCTCCAGGATGTGCTCGGTGCCCCTGGAGGGGTGTGGCCAAAGCTCTGTTGGTGGCAAGTGGCCCACTCTCTGTTGGTGAAGCCGAGCAGAGAAGGGAAGTGGTGTCGGGGACACAAGACAGTCAGGCCCTGGGGATGAGGGGCTGAGGGAGCCCAGGGGGCCTTCTCAGAGGCGCCCACGCTGCGCCCCCTGCCCGGCGCCCCTGTCCTGCCTCCAGCCCCTCTCCTCATAGCCCCCCTCCATAATATCACAACCCACCTTGGGCCCTGGGGGCCATGGTCCCCACACAGCATCCAGGCTTCTGCATCCTTGGGCCAAACGAGCAGCACCCCCTGGTGGGCACGTCTGGGCCTCCAAATTATCAGGAGGGAGCACCCAGGTGGCTGTGCATGGGCAGACAGCAGGGCTGGTCGGGTAAGCGGGGCTGGGGAGTCCCTGGGCACCAGCCAGGAAGACTCGGGGCCCAGCACTGAGATGAGGGGCACCGACGGCGAGGAGGACCCTAACCTGGAAAGGCAGCCCCAAAGGTCTCCTCTGCACCAGAACTATGACAGGGGGTCACGGCGCTTGACACCACCTCCAAAAACACCACGAAGAGACTGAAAGTCAAGTAACAAGCTCGGAAGAAAGTACCTGCAACATGCACGTAGAGAGAATGCCGACACCTTCCACGCAAAAGGGCTCTTACAAACGACGACAAAAAAGGAACAACCAAAAATAACCAAACAACTGGGCCGGCCCGGTGGTGCACTCGGTAGAGTGCGGCGCTTGGGAGTGCGGCGGCGCTTGGATCCCATATAGAGACCGGTCCGCTCACTGGTTGAGCGCGGTGCGGACGTGACACCGAGGGTTGCGATGCCGTTTCCGGTCACGAAAAAAGACAAAAAGGGAAAAAAAAAATAACCAAACAAAAAAGAGCTCTTACAATTTAGTGTTAAAAATCTGGAATACCCAGGGCCGGCCCGTGGCTCACTTGGGAGAGCGTGGTGCTGACAACACCAAGTCAAGGGTTAAGACCCCCTCACCGGTCATCTTAAAAAAAAAAAACATCTGGAATACCTGAAAAGAAAAATGGCCAAAGTACATGAATAAGTCATTCACAAAAGAGAAGCGTAAATGGCCACTAAACAAGTGGGGAGAACGTTCGGCCTCAGCGGTGAATGAAAACATCCACACTGTCGAACGCAGCTGTCGCCAAGCATCAAAACCGCCGAGCGTGGAAACAGGCCCCCTCCACGCGGGCGCACCAGGTGGCACATTAGCACACGCGGGTGACGGAGGTGGGGATGGCCAGCCCCGGCAGGCGGTCGGTCAGCACCACATTTCCAGAAGGCTCAGGAGGTGCAACCCCTGGCCCGAACGGCCCTGCATCAGATGTCGGCTGCAGGAGGACGATCAGAGGCGCGTCCAGACGGACAGAGCTCAGCCAGCTTGCTGGCTGACGTGAGGACTCACCGTGTCTTACGGTTACAGACACCCACCCCTGGAAGCCACGAAGACAACCATGAGAAAGAGCACTCGGCAAGGAGGAAAGACGTCCCTCCATGTCACGCACCTCCGCAAGTGCCTGCTGCGTGACAGGCTGGGCCCGGGCTCCCAAGATTCATCCAGGAACAAAACAAGGGTCCCTGTCTCCTGGGGCTGAGGTCCGGTGGGGGACACGGACCAGAGAGGGGAAATGGGACCGCTAAGTGACATATCCTGGGTGTCAGGAGATGACACCTGCCCTGGGAGAAAGTAGAGCAAGATGAGGGAGCCACGGTCGAGTTGGGGGCAGGCTAGCATTTTTAAAAAGATGGCCATGGTCAGGGGTGCTCACTGAGAAGGTGACTGTCACGGGGTGAACTGTGTTCCCCCAGATTCTCACGCCGAAGTCCTAATCCCCAGCACTAGGAGTGTGACTGTCTTTGAAGAAAAGGTCCTTAAAGAGGTGGTTAAATTAAAATGAGATCAGTAGGGTGGACCCTGATCCATAGGACTGTGTCCTTATAAGAAGAGATCAGGAAACAGACACACAGAGGGATGACCACGTGAGGACACAGGGAGGAGACACCGTCTGCAAGCCCAGGAGAGAGGCATCAGCAGGAACAGCCCTGCCACTCCTGGATCTCGGACTTCCAGCCTCCAGAATGTGAGAGAATGAATGTCGGTTGTTTAAGCCGCCCTGTCTGTGGTACTTTGTTATGGCAGCTGTGGCAAACAACTATGCAGACATTTGAAGAAAATTTTGCAGGCCCTGAGGGAGCGAGCCAAGAGTATGTTTAAGCGAAGACACCTCCAGGCCAAGGAATAGCAATGGAATGTCCCAAACGAGGAGTGTGCAGTCCCCCAGGAGCGGCGAGAAGGGGCAGCTGGCCGGAGTGGCATAAGGCAGCAAGCCCGTGGGGCGTGAGGCCAGAGAGACGGGCTGGGGGAGCCCACTCGGCTTCTGCTCCGAGTGAGGTGGGGCCCATGGGAGAGTGCAGCAGAGGAAGGACACTTAGAGGGTCCCCAGATAATGAGTGTGCCTCGTGAAAGGACAGGGGCAAAAGCCAAAGGCTGCAGAGAACTCTTAAATGCTGATATAAACAGCACGCCAACAAATTAGATAACTTGGCTGAAATGGAGAAGTTCCTAGAAAGACACAAACTGCCAAAACTGACTCAA